GTGACCATTGTAACAATACTGAGTGCCTCATGAAAGAAAGAAACGCCTTTGTGAGCTGTATAGTCCGAATGTTACCATGCTGTGACAGTAGCACTGTGAACGTAGCAAATGGAGCAGCATACAGAGGGTGCTCTTGCGTTGCTTTACTCTGTCTCGCCTGAGGCCTGTGGTTTTGAAGCAGTTCCTTGTTCCCCACCCCTGCCTTCTTGCTTTGCATTGATGTGAAGCCAAGACCCACCTCGAAACTTACCTGTTTACCTGTCTGCAGTCCTCTCCTCCCCATCTGCTGCACGCGTTCTTGGTGCGGACAGGATGGTCCTAACAGGCATAGATTGCCTGTTTATCTATTATTATTTATCTAGTTAATGCTCTTGTCTGTGCTTTTGCAGCTGAGCTCATGCTGTCCTTTCAGACCCTCAGCCCACTGCCAGTTTTCCCTGGACCCAGCAGAGGGCTCCTGTTTTTTCACAACTGTTGTGTCTCTTGATTTGTGAAGGTGAAGAACTAAGAGCAAAAGAGAGGGTGCAGAAGGGAATACAAAAGGAAAAGGGAACCAGAGCAGACACAGCGATATGAGCACTGTGGAAATGGGCTGTAGAGGTGACAACTGTGTTGTATTTCAGACTGGCAAAATGCAGGGCAGTTCTTGTCACACACATACAGCTTGTGCTGGCCATGGTAAAAGAGTGCTGCTGCCCTTGACCATTGAGGTATGTGGGAGCCCCACGTAATAAGGCCCTTCCCAGTTAATTGGTAAGAGGTCGATGGGCTGTTTTAATCTTCTCTGTGCTCTGGAATGTGCACGTCAGACCTGCACAAAGGGCCACCTCGTCTGCATGGTTTGGCTAATGCTTCAAAAGAAACATCTGAACTCTGTGAGTGCAGCCAACGTGTGGGCAACCCCGGGCAGTCACTGCTTTGATTTCCAGCCTATTGCTGAGTAGGCACTTTAAAGAAACCTCCAGGCTGAACCCATGCTTTTGTTTTTTAAGTTAGAACCTTGATTAAAAGCCAGGCAAGGGGAAATGGCTTCTTGAATGTGGTTTGGTTGTGCAGTTGAGATCTGCAGCGAGCCTAATCTACCAGAAAAAGGAGATTTAGTGCTGCCTTCAGGAACCCCAGGCACATTTGCCTGCTGGAATTTGAAGCTCAGAAGCAGGTGGCAGTTCTCTGTGCAGGTAAAGGAAACATCAAATCCAACAAATCAATGTAACCCTGGAATGTGAGAGGAACCCCCCCCTCCCTTGTCAGCCTGGTCCCCTCCACCAGCCCTCTACTGCCAGCCTTCATGACCACAGTGCTGACAAAGGTGCTGGGTGCAGAACTCAGAAGGCAAAACAAAACTGGGAACTTGTTCACTTTCCAGCACATAGAAGGAGGGACACTTTTCTAACTTGTATTTGCCAGCCTCACCAGGCAGATCTGTTCCTTTCTTCTATCTCCAGCACTTTATGCTTGCTCATGAGAAGCCCTTGACAGAAAGCCTTCCTTATTTTCTCTCATTTTCTCACCCTCTTGCCTTTTGCACTGGGGGAGAGACGATGTAATTCAAGACTGAATTTATGCGATTATGTTACAGCTAGGCAGGATTTAACTGATCAGATTTAAAGCTGCTTTTTCACAGTAGTAAGGAACCTTCTTCCTTTGATGGGGTGGAATGGGCACTGGTCAGTGCTGTTCTCCTGGATGTCAATTGGGAACAAATGCAACTACCCCAACTTCCCATTAGCTGAAGGCAACACTGAGGAAAGAGATCCTGGTCTGAAGTGTGGAAGTTTTCCAGGTCTGGTGAACATCAGCCTGGATGTGAAATCATGTATACGGGCGCTGTAGGTGTGAGTACAATCCTCACAACTGGAATTATGGGTTATGTTCATCTTAACTATAGAAAAAGTGGAAGGGCACAAAAGAGACTGTGAACAAGGATTGCATGGACTTGTATTGGTCTTCCTGGTGCCAGCAATAAAAGGCCCAGAGATCTAGGCGGTGCAAAGCACTGAGTGCCAGAAGAGCAGGCTGTAAGAATCCGAGTCACTCTTACCAGGACCTCGATTCTTAAAAGAAGTGCACATAAAGAGGCCCTCCCCCCAGCGTTCTTACTCCAGCACAGTGAAAAAAATAAATGAATGACTGCAATCCGCCTTTGGTCACAGGATTGGAGAATAAAGCGGTTAATCCCTTTCTCAGCGCTCTGTGGCTGGTGAAGTGAGGGGGAAAGCTGGAGAAAGGATGTTCTTCCTGGGCTAGTGTGATTCTGCTGATGGAAAGCATGTGCTAAATCGTGCAAGCTCCACAACAGAGAAGAATCTGTGCCTAAATGTAAATACCTCTTCTCTTCCCTCCTGAGTCACCCATCACAACTGCAGACACAAACAACCGTTTATATCCCAAATTTCCATGCAGATTTCTAGTCAGACCAGTCCTGTTGCCATTAAGCTGGTAGACTCACACAAGGCAGAAATGGCCCAGCAGGCAGGGTGCAGCCATGAGTGCTCACAGAGTGAGTTTAACAGAACTTGTGCCACCACAAAACTCAAGCTGGTGGAAGAGTCACAGGATCACAGAATAGTTTGGATTGGAAGGGACCTTCAGCTCCAACCCCCCTGCCTCCCTAAAGGCAGGGACACCTCCCAAGGTTGCTCCTTGAACACCTCCAGGGAGGGGAGCATCCACAACCTCACTGGGCAACCTGTTCCAGAGTCTCACCGCCCTCACAGTAAAGAATTTCTTTGTAGGCTAAATCTACTCTCTCTCCGTTTAAAGCCATTTCCCCTCAGGATTACTCTCTTTCCGTTTAAAGCCATTTCCCCTCATCCTGTCACATACCTTTCTAAAAAGTCTCTCCCCAGCTTTCCTGTAGGCCATTTTAGGTACTGCAAGGCCACTAAAAGGTCCCCCTGGAGCCTCCGCCCCTCCAGGCTGAAAAGCCCCAGCTCTCTCAGCCTGTCCTCACAGGGGAGCTGCTGCAGCCCTCTGATCATCTTTGTGGTCCTCCTCTGGACCTGCTCCAACAGCTCCATGTCCTTCTTCTGTTGGGGGCCCCAGAACTGGATGCAGTACTGCAGGTGGGGTCTCACAAGAGCAGAGCAGAAGGCAGAATCACCTCCCTTGTCCTGCTGGTCAAATTCTCCTGATGCAACCCAGGACACGATTGGTCTTCTGGGCTGCAAGCCCACACTGCTGGCTCATGTTGAGTCTTTCATCAACTGACAGCCCCAAATCCTTCTCCTCAGGGCTGCTCTCAAGCCATTCTCCATCCAGCTTGTATCTATGCTTGGCATTTTCCCAACCCAGGTGCAGGACCTTGCACTTGGCCTTCATGAGGTTGGCATGGACCCAACTATGAAGCCAGTCTATGTTCCTCTGGATGGCACCCCTTCCCTCCACTGTGTCAACTTCATCACTCAGCTTGGTGTCACCTGCAAACCTGCAGAGGCTGCACTCAATCCCACTGTTCATGTTGCCTATGTTAATTGGCACCAGTCCCAACACCAATCCCTGAGGAATGCCACTTGTCACCAATCTCCACTGCGCTGCACACAAATCTCTGAGTGCAGCCATCCATCTAATTCCTTATCCAGGTGGTCCATCCATCAAATCATTTTTTGTTCAATTTTGAAATCAGGATGTCATGCAGGGCAGTGTCAAATGCTTTACACAGGTCGGGGTAGATGATGTCAGTTGCTCTTTCTTTATTCACTGACGCTGTAACCGTAGCAAAAAGCCACCAAGTTTGCCAGACATTATTTGCTCTTGATGAAGCCACATTGGTTACCACTAATGACCCTCACCTTTATTTTCCATGTGCCTTATTAGGGCCTTCAGGAAGATCTGCTCCGTGATCTTGCCATGCACACAGGTGAGACTGACTGGGTTGTAGTTCCCTGGATCTTTTTTCCTCCTTGAAAATGGGAGTTTTGTTCCCACTTTTCCAGTCAGTGGGAACTTCACCAGACTGCCATGACTTTTCAAATATGATGGATAACAAGCTTAGCAAATTCATCTGCCATTTCCCTCAGAAGCTGTGGATGGATCTCATCGAGTCCCATGGACCACCAGCGCCTTCAGGTTCTGTAGATGGTCTCAAATCTAATCTTCACTTAAAAGGGGCAGATCTTCCTTCTCTCAGTTCTTACTTTTGCTTTCTGCAGCTTGGGCAGTACGGCTAGAGCCCTTGCCAGCGAAGACTGAAACAAAGAAGTCACTGAGCATCATATCTTTCTCCATATCTCTTGTGACCAGGTCTCCAGTTTCTTCCTGAAAGGGCCCGCACATTCCCTGGCCTACCTTTTGTCGCTGATACAACGGCAGAATTTCTTAACGTTCCCCTTTATATCCCTGAATAGATTTAATTCTATCTTCTATTTATGCACCATCAGATTCCCCTGTGAAAATGAGGCATCCAGCAGGGGCTAGAAAGGGGTGAAGGCTCCAGCACTGGACAGCCTATCCATCACAAGAGACACCAAGGATTTAACAAAGAACTACAGAGGTGCAGCCACAGTGACAGTCACACGAAAGCCCTTGGCTCTGCCACTTTGGAATAGGCTTCCTTTAACTCACTTTTAAAAATATTCCTTGCCCTGTGGTGAACACAAAGTAATCAGAGGGAGCTTCATCCCAACAATCCAACCACAAATGATACTTGGATTTTAAATAATCTTAATGCTGGAGGAAAGGTCATCATGCTGTTTTATGCCCTTAAAAAGCCAGTTAATCTTCCCTTCCCAAATCATTATAGGGAGCAGCAAAATGACAGCTTTCCTGCTTGCTGTGGTTTAGGGTAAGGGAGCTACTGCACTAAGTACTGCCAGCCTTCCACCAAATGACAATTAAATGAGCTCCTTTATCAAACAGAACCCACATTAATGGGGATGAACTAGGGCATCTGTCTGTAAAATCAGAGGGCTTCCTGAGTAAGCATTTGCTTACTCAACAGAACAAGAGTATAACAAATCACTATAGGTGCCTTTTAGAAACATAAAACAGGTTCAAGGCCATGTGATTCAAAATCTTTTTATTATGAACTGTCATTCTGAACAACAAGAGTCCTGACAGAACCAAGCCTAATTCTGCACATTATGCTACATTATTTTACACTGGCAGTAACACTAATGGTAAGAAGTCAGTATTTTGAGAACTCTTTTCCAAACATCAGTGGCATTAAGTTTATTCTAGACAAATACCTTGTGTTGTTTCTTAGTTTTTCGTGCTTGTAATTTAGATCTTTTTTTAGGAAGCATACAGTTTAATCCAAACAATTCCACAGTCCTAGATGTGCTGATAGTAAACTGAACTTTTTCCCACCCTCAGGAAAGAACAGTTGTGTTTGAGCTTTCAAACATGCTCTAAGCATTGGAAAACTTTAAGAACGAACAGCAAAACTCCAGTGGAAATCTGAATACTTAGGTCTAGATTTCAGCTGTGTACGTGAATATCGTGAGGACTGCATAATTGCACGTTGTAAGGGTTGCATGCTATAACTGTGTGTTGCGAGGAATTCACAGAGGATTCACCATTGCTGTATGAATTGAAACACCACACACCCACACGATGAAGCTGCAATGGCTGGAACCTGCGATGACACCATCACGATGCTTTCTGAAAGAAGACAGAAGAGCATAAATGAAAATATGCTATAAAACCCTGATTTATCCTTAGTGGACGCACTCGGATGCTGACAAGATAAAAAGCAGAAAGTGCATACACAGAAATATACTTCTAGGTTTGCTCAAAATGATCTTTACCAATCTTTACGCAGAGATGCAATAAGAAGTCTCAGCCTCCTTCAAGGCTGAAGAAACTCTCACAACATATTTTATGCTCTGCAGGCTATAAAAGACCCTCAAATATGACTTCACTAACCATAGATCTTATGACCACTGGTTACCACTGAGAAAAATTTTCTGTATCTCCTCAGCAAAAAGCCTAGTATTTCCCCAGAAATCCAATACAGCATCCACATAAACCATTTGAGACACCTACAGCTCTGAAAAGAGGAACACACAGTGCTGCTTTGCAGGTGCAGGGCATACTTTAAGGTGCACAGCAGAAATACCTGGAAATTCCTCTGTCGTGTGGTTCCCAGCTTCCATTGAAATGGGACTACACACGTTCCCTCTACACCAAGACCTGGATTCATGCAAAGCTGTGGTTTATACAGGGCATTTCCTTGCTCTCAGCACAACTACATCTGCTCGCTTATAGCTAACACCAAACCATGATCATCCTAAGCACATAACTCTGAATGCACCTCTTTTGCAAATGTATAAGCTTGTTTTGAAGTATCAGCCCAAGGTACCACATTTCAGCACGATGTACAAACCCCCATGTTGTTGCTTCTTACTTTTCCTCTCCTGAGAGGACTTCTGTGATTTCAGCACCTGTCACTTCATCATGAAGCTCTCTTCCTCCCACCTCCAGATGCACTCAGATATTTTTTCTCCCTAGCAGTGCTGGTTTAAGCAGTCCCAGTTTTACCCCTACTCTGAGCTCACTAGGCCTGACAGTGAGCACAGCTACACAAAGCAGGAAAATCATGTGGCCTAAGTGGGGAGGGTGTGCGTGAGCAGAGGGTAGCAAGGATTGACTTGTTTAGAGATGAGGCTGAAGTGACTGGGTAGCAGGGTACTCAAATTGGCACCACTCTAAATAAGTCTGTCAGGAACATGGAACATTATCTGTATATTTTATTTCAGAGAAAAGATACAGAAGATAACCCAAACATCAGATTCCTTAGGAAAACCTCAAGAAGAATATTATATAGTATCTCTCCTGCCCATGTAGTTCCCACAAAGCACTGCTACAGCCAGAAATTTCATAAACTGTCACTGTTACAGAAGTTACAGCACCCAAACCACATGCACTCTACTCACAATCCTTCCATGATGCAGCATATGGGGAGGACTCAGGCGCACGTACACTTGAAGGAAGGTAATTCTTTTGTCCAGAGGTAACACTGCAACTGAAAGAATTTAGTTCTTAACTAATGTAATTACTCAAATTTATGCACTTTACTATAGTATGGAGCAGGGACACAACAGATGGACAGGGACACAAGGAGATGGTACTCTGCTGCCTGACAGTGGTGATATTTAGAATGCCTATATATGCTCTAAACACTATAAAGTCTTCCAGAGATTGTAATGAGTGAAGCTAGACAACACTGTTAAACCTTTTACAGGAGGACTGCATCATGCTTCAGCCCACATATAACTGCAGGGCTGCCAGCTGGAAAACTGTTTCTGCACACTGGCTTAGACAAATCTTAGAACACACTTTCACACCTCATACACAGCCTGCAATGGTGATCTACTGTTGGCTCAGCGACGCCTGGCAAGGCAGCTCCATCAAGTGCACAACTGCCCTCCATCAAAACCCATACTGTGACTACACTTCACAAAGGGCAGGAGGGGATTTCTGCTAACACAGGGCCCTTACGCCAGCACATCTGCCACATACAAAGCAACAAGTGGTCATGAAGGACTGCTAGCTAAAAATTAGTTCAAGAGGAGAGGAGTAACTGTTTGAACAAACTCCTCCAAAGGGAGGCATCAGGCCACATCTCCAAGTCAACATATTGGCTCATCTCTCATACGCTGGCCAGATATCCAGCAGAACTGCACGCTGCCAGCCCCTCAAAGTGCCCTTCTCTTGTAAGGGCCAGCCAAAAGGAAGAAGGTAACAATGAACCAGAAGCATTAAAACATTCACTGTTAATGTTTCCCCTCTTCCCTGGGTCTGTACATCAGCAAAGCCAGCAAATGTCCAGCAGTCAAGGCTGGACTGGAAGTAGGTTGCAATATTTTTCTGTACAAAGAACACTGTTGTAAGTTATGAAATTTGCACTCCTTACCTGTTTATGCCAGAGTTGGTCATGCCCCAAATAAAAGGGGAATTTGGCTCCTCTAGCAACTCTGCAAAAGTAAACAGATGATGAGGCTCAGCATTAAGAAACTCTAGTAAGATATCTGAGCATCTTCATCATTATTTTGACGTGTTCAAAAGGAAACAGTAGTTGATATTGAAAAGTGTCTGTTTCACTGTTATTTAACTGAGGAAAATAAAAGTTATCATGTCTCCATTTTTATCCCTGCTGAGAATAGCTTTTATGGGAAAGGTGGATGTTTGGAAGTGTACCTTCACGTCAATCACAGCAGGCATGCCTCCATGCCAAGAAAAGCCTGCTAAGCCAAGATTTAGCAGTACAGAGCACAAGCAGAGTGTCTTACATGCAGCACCTAAGTGAATGGCATCTCTGAACTTATGGTGTAGAGATGGAGGACAGAACCCAGGAGAAGGCAGCAGAGCACAGAAGGAAGAAGTTCCCCACCTGTTTCCCAGTCTTCATCACATGGAGGTGCCTGCCATGTGCTTACAGCATTCACCTCATCTCTTTGGAAGCCAGAAGAACAATGTGCTTCAGGAAGAAAGAAAAAATCAGTGCCTGTAGTCTGTTCTGCTTCAGAAGCGTTAAGTACTTGGATCAAACTGTAAAACAGTTCTTTGCTTTAGAGGAAACTTCATGTAATTTGAACAGGTTAGACACACCCAGGAGCCAAACACTGCTCTGAAATCATAAATAGCTTTTTCAGAGAACAGGAGATGGCTGTATTCCCTGGGAGTTGGCAGCAGGAATGCTTAAGTGGAGAGAAAACCTGTTAACATGAATGCTGGCATGACTATTAGCCTCACAGCAACTCTACAGAAGGTGGAAATCTATCTGCTCTTTAGTGTGGCAGCAGTTGAAGAGCCACTGCAGAGAACTGAAAAGACACTGTATATAGCACAGGAAGCCCCTCTAAATAATTTGGGACAGACCCACCCACGCTGTTTCACTGGGTAGGAGACAGGAATGGTATGATAGACAAAGCAAATCAACAACAGAAAACCCTGGAAGAGGAGCAGACCCACCTCTTGGGGGGAATATATGACTCAGGTTGCCCCAACTGCAGGGATTTTCACAGCATCTATTTGATGCAAATCAACTTTTCATGTGGCACCAGTACTCAAGCCTCAATGAGAGGAGATAATCTGTACTGTCCTTCTAGTAAGTAAAGCCTCACAGCTCCTGGCAGTGGTATGTCAATATGCAGTCTTGGATACAACCATTTTATTCAGAAAGCCTGGGAACAAATTACGCGCAAGGCCCATCTTGCACACCTGCAGTGTTGCAATGAACCTATCCAATAAACTGAAGCAAGGCTCAGGTTTCTGAAGGCTGCTGTGCCTTGCAAAACTGCAGACAATAAATGACTTCCAGTTTTGTTTACCATGTGAACTATCTGGACAAACAGGAGACCTTCAGTCCCTAATCTCCAAAGCTCTCTTACCTATATCATGCTCAATGAACCCTTTGTCCCGGCACTTCGCTATGTGATCGACGAGGTCGGCTCGAGGAACAAGATGGCGAGCATTGAAGGGACACGTGGCCAATAACTTTGCAACTTCAGGGTGACTCTGGAAAAGGGAACACAGAAATCATGCACCACATCAACCAAGTTCACTTTTCCTTGTGTTTTCCACAGATGAGCAAGAGAAAATGATCTGGTGGGTGGCAACCCTGTGCCTGGCAGGCGGGTTGGAACTACATGATCCTTACAATCCCTTCCAATTTGAGTCATTCTATGATTTTACAGTAACTGGTAACGTTGCTTTAAAAGAGACTGAACAAGGAATGGCAAAATATTGGCCATACTTACTACAACGGCAAGATAAAGCTGTCTGACAGACTTATTTAAAACACAGTTCATTAGAAAAAAAAACAAAGGAGTTGGTTCAAATGAAACACACCCTCAGCTACACAGCCTACAATCTGCTGCAATGCTGGCAACGTGGCCTCATGGTTTAAGGCACAGATGAAGCTATTTCAAAAACAACAGAAAGGAGATGTTAGGTAAATCTAAACCATTCAGATACTGTAAAGCAAGTCAGCACAAAGCCACAGAAATTCATTAATCCTTTCAAAACAAGTATTAATAGAATCACAGAATATCCATAATTGGAAGGGACCCAGAGGAATTAAGTTCAGCTCCTGGCACCACATAAGATTACCCAAAATGCTGAGAACAGAACGTTCACCTACAGCTGCATTTTCACTGGAGGGCACAGCACTGCTAAACTGTTTTGAAACAAATATATTTGGTAAACTTACTGGTAGAGGAACAACTCTCAGCAGAAACCAACACTCAGATAGTAGCATTTGATAGGTTAAATAAAACAAACCTTGAGGGTACAGATGAGAATAGAGGATGGAATGCTTTCAATTACACCACTTGTATTCAAATTCTAGATAACAGATGGAGAGGTTTAAAAAAAAAAAAAACACAACAAAACCAAGCAAAACTCTCTCCCAAATGTGCTGAAGCCAGGATGTCCAGGTTCTGCACATGTGCACATCAAATACTTTTAAGCAACATCAAACACAAAAGTTGTACTGAAGCATTTCTATCACTCAATAAACTGCAACATCCAACTTCTACTCCGATGAGACAGATTAGGTGCACATAACTCAGCCTGAATTGTCTCTAGAAATTCACATGGGAAAACTTACCTGATCTCAAAGAGACCATGAATTCTTCCCTGACCTGATCATGAAGAGCCACACTGGTTTTAGGTGAGTCAATGTGCTTGAAGCTATTTCTAATATATATATATATATATATATATATTCATATATATATATGAAGTAAATACTAAATGGGATCATTTGTAAAGAACTTACTCGAGTCATCCAGACAACAGAATAAGAATGAGAATATGCACACTTTTTTATATAAAAACTTTGTATTTTATTATATATATACTTTTTATACACACACACAACCCCCATCTGGTGTTCAGCAATTCAGCTTACCTTCCTGCACTTTACAAGATGATAGGGAAAACGACAGGCTCTGATTTGATGTTGTTTATCATATGGACACTGTATTAATCTCTCTGGATCATCTAAAAGATTTGGAGAACAGAGAGAGAAAAAAACAAAACAAACTAGTAAGAAAGACAGGATGTAACATCACTAATAGAGTGAAGTGGAAAAAACACACCACCACATCAGGGATGTCATCTCAGGAAGTTAGAAGAGTCATTCTTTCTTTGAAACTCGTTAAGGCAGTCGCCTGTTTTGTATAATTAAACCAAATCGATTTACAAGTTTGGGGCGTCAAAAAAAAGAAAAAAAAAGAGGTCAGCAGTACAGTGAATAGCAGCTCCTTAAGATACCACATTAGACGGGTAACCACAGGTACTCAAAACTAATGAGACACAGTACTTCTCCAGCTATCTTAGGTGGGAATCTCTGGGATGATGATACACCCACCAGGGCCCTCAGGAACTTCTCAGCCAAGTCTTTTTTGATGAACAGCTAGATTGGCTGGAGGAAGGACGCCAGACAATTTAGTTTAATTTCTGAGGAAGCAGCAGGATGCATGAAGCTTTCAAGTGAAACTTCTTCCAAATCAAGCAATTATTTAGGAGCTAAGGAGTTATCAAAACACCTAGAAATACAGGCAACGAACAGGGAAGCAGAAGAAGTGCATACACAGATGTCATATAAACGTTCCCATATCCTCGGTGAGGAAAAGAGCAGCATCCAGGAGGAGGCACAGGATGCCCCACTACCTGTTGCTACCTGTGGGGGTGTTTGTTGTGCACTCACAGGAGGCCAGATTAGATTTCTTTCCTCATTTCTGCCTTTGTGCACAGGCTTTTGGTGCACTTAAGACAGATTACAAAATACCTTAAATAGATCTAAGCATCGGCTGCTGCTGCTGAGCCTCTCTCCTGCCATCGCATCCTCTTCTCTCACACAATTGGTGTTCAGCTGTCTCAAGAGCCAGGTCAGGGAGCTGTCGCAGCCCACAGGCTGGCAGCTCATCGAGATGCTTTTCCCAAGTCACACTGAGCTGACTTCATAATCTGAGCCACTAGGAAAGAAGAACCTAATCCTTCTTTGCACTCCAGCTGTGCAACACTGCTGCTGTCAGCACCTCACTGCCATTAACCATTTACTTAAGGGTCACTAGAAATGCTGAAAATCGAAGACTTCATTATTAAGATGCTCTGACAAGCTTTGTACAGGTTCAGCTTTCACTGGAATTAAAGAATGGCTTGGGTTGGAAGCGACCTGAAAGAACATCTAGTTCCAACCCCTCTGCTGCAGGCTGGTTGCCAATCACCACATCAGGTTGCCTAGGGCCCCATCCAGCCTGGCTTAAACATCTCCAGGGATGGAGCATCCACACCTTCTCTGGGCAGTCTGTTCCAGCACCTTACCACACTCTTCATGTAAAACTTCCCGGATACCTCATCTAAATCTCCCCTCCTTTAGTTTAAAACAATTTCCCCTTGTCCTTTTACTACCTACCCATAGAAAAAGTTGATTTCCCTCCTGTGTATAATCCCCCTTTAAATGCTGGAAGGTCTCCCTTCAGCCTTCTCTTCTCCCATACCAGCTCCCTCAGCCTGTCTTCACAGGATAGGTGCTCCAGCCCTGTGTATCCTCATGGCCCTTCTTTGGACCCTCTCCAAAAGCTCCACATCATTCCTGTGCTGCTGGCCACAGGTCTGGAAGCAGTACTGCATATGGGGTCTCACAAGAGCTGAGTAGAGGGGGACAATCACCTCCCTCACCCAGCTGCCACCTGCCAGGGCAGCCCAGGGTACTGTTGGCATTCTGGGCTGCAAGTGCACACTGCTGGCTCATATTAAGCTTTTTTCAGCTACCAGCATCCCCAAGTCCTTCTTTGCAGGGCTGCTTGCAAGGAGGTCTCCCAGTCTATATACACACCTGGGATTGCCCCAGCCCAGCACCTTACTCCTGGTGTTCTTGAATCTCATTAGGTTTACATGGGCATTATCAGCACAAAAAAAGAAAGCAAGAATGAGTACACGATGGAGAAGAAAGGGAGCCTTTACTACTACATCAAACTGCAACCTCAAAAGTCACAGAGCTGGCCTGGCCAGCTAAAAAGATGCAGTTATTAATCCAAGGACTGCAGCAAGCAAAGGCTCTGGGGCACAAAAGCATGGAAACCACAATGCTGCCCTGGTCAGCAACGAGCTACTGGGATGCTCCTTGGCTCTGTCACTGGACAAGATCTGTCGGAATAAAACTCCTTAAGACCAACATGGTATTAGGAAGCAGGCATTCTCCATTACACGTGAACTGGGGGCTGCCCTACCCAGACGCAAACCCAGCAGCTAAGCACACAGATTATATACACAACATGTGTGAATATTCAACAATTTCCATGAAGTGCCCACCTAAGAATTGCTGTACGTATTAACTGTCTCATAATATCAGGGTAGGGAACCCATCACAGAACAAAGCATGCCTGTGTCACCTGGAAGCTCATGATCCCTATAACCAGACATCTTCCATACATACACCCACACCTCGAGGACTGTTTGTCCTACAACTTCAGAGACCTGCTCTGTCACTGGGCTGCACTCCCATCCTGCAGATGAAAAAACAGAGAATTTTTTTTTTTTTTTTTTTAAAAGGTGCCTCATGTTGCAAAAGTATCTTTCCACTAGTCTGTACATCCCATTAACCATTTACATTTCAGTTGCAATACGAAGCAGTGAGGTGAGTGGTTTTGAGCCCATCAAAGTGGTGACAGGAAGCAGCAGGACACTAATTTAATTTGGCAGTAAAAAATGAGTCCTCTTTCCTGACACAGAGAGAGCAGGGTGTAAAAACATGGCTTTTGTTTGCAGCTGCCACTCACTCACCAGAACAGCATGGTGTGCAACCCTGCTGTGCCCTCTCCCACCTTCCTGCTCCATTTTGCCACCTGCTTTCTGCAAAGCTTTCAGGGCTGGGACACACTCTCCTTCCAGGAGTTTCGGACCTGTTTTGGGCACTGATGATGAGAAAGATCCATAATGGCATCGCCTGAAGCGCTGTGAGGTCAGGAGGTTTCACCAAAATCTGGAAATTGAATGTCACCAACCTGAATGTCAGGTTAGAAAGCCAACATTACTTTATTGCAGTGCTGGGTGAACATGGGTTGCTCCACCTAATGTGCATACACAGGAGCTGAAGCACAAAGACTGTGTGAGTATTCAGACATGCTGAATACAATTCAAAGTGCCCACCTGTTCTGAGCATTGCTACACATTAAAATCTCACATCATGCATGCTGCGTTAACATGGCAGTCTTGCAAGGGAGTCGTTGTTAGTTGTGGGGTTCCATTGGGAGGTGCTAGCTGGCCAAAAGGTGATGTGCTAAGTAGGTCAGTGGCTGTGTTTGGTCAAGAAATTGTTTACAAAAATAACTGGCTGCTGACTAAGTTTCTAATTAACACACTGGCCTTGCTCTTGTGCCCACAGCAGGCACGTCTAACTCGCAGCAGCTGAGGCTGCACCTTCCCACCAATATCCATTACATTCGTTGCCATGTGGCAGATGGCAGAGAGGCACAAGCTAACAAAATGGCACCCGGCACTGACATGTGCATGAAGCAAAGATGTGGAATTGAGCTCCTCCACGCAAAAAAAAATGGCACCCACCGACATTCACGCACACTCGCTGAACATTAAAGGAGACCAAACAGTGGATGTGAGCACAGCGAGGTGATGGGTGGTACGTTCCATTGAACCACAGAATCACCAGGGCTGGAAAAGATTTCCAAGATCATCTAGTTCAACTGGCCACCTAACACCGATATTTTCCCACTAAATCATGTCCCTCAGTACAAAATCTGATGTTTCTTCAACAGCTCCAGGGATGGTGACACCACCACCTCCCTGGGCAGCCCATTCCAGCGCCTGACCACTTTTTCAGAGAAGAAATTTTTCCTTATGTCCAACCTGAATCTTGCCAGCTGCAACTTGAGACCATTCCCTCTATCCTACTGCTAGTTATGTGGGAGAAGACACCAACCCCCACCTCACTGTAACCTCCTTCCAGGAAGTTTTTCTCTAGACTAAACAATCCCAGCTCCCTGAGCCGCTCCACACAACACTTGTGCTCCAGCCCCCTCAAAGTTCTGCTGCCTTTCTCTGGACACGCTCAAGGGCCTCAGTGTGATTCCTGTAGTGAGGGGCCAGAACAGAGCACAGTACTTGAGGTGCTGCCTCACCAGAGCTGAAGATAGAGGAATAATTGCTTACCTCTCTACTCCCGCTGGCAACACTACTTCTGATACAAGTGATGCAATTGGTAATGTGATTCTTTACATTGAAAGCAATGGTGGCAGTAAGAGCACGTCACCTCTGCTGGCACAGATTTTTGAGGAGCACACATGCACTGTGTTCTTTAGTGGCAAAAATCCACTGTTAATGGTACTGATTATGTCAAAAATTAGTGTTTTGGTTTTTTTTTTTTTTTTTTTTTTTTTTAAATATAACTGTGAATGTGCACTATTAAACAGCTCTCTGTAGCCACCGTAGTTTCCACAGAAATAAATAAGAGGCAATACTTTCAGTGCAAGCTATGTATATGCGGCCCAGGCAAGGCAAAAGGCGGGCCACCAGATACCAGTGTTACCAATCCCAGCAAGATGCTGAGGCTCTGCTTTTAGGCTCCTGCTGATGTAGGAAAAGCAACCTTCCCCCATCAGAACGTCAGCACCCCAAACACTCTGAATTACCTGCAGCAGCAAACGCAGCTCACGCACACAAAACATCTGGAAAACACTACAGAAGCTGCAGATTTCCCTCTGCTCGATTCACAGCATCAGCTCGGTTACACAAAGACAGAACCAGCCTGCAACACCCCCTGCCAGCTCACAGCGTGCCCAGCTCCCGTCCGGCTTTCTCTGCTTTAGGATTCAGGACGAGGAGGGGCAGGGGAGCAGGGCGGGGTAGGCCGGACCGAGCCCAGCCCGCAGCGCCAAGGGACCACCTTCCCCTGCCACCCACCGACCCCGCCTCGAGCCTCACCCAAGTCATCCTCTGCCTCCATAGTGGGGAAGGGCTGCAGTACCGGGCCGGGAAAGCCCTCAGAGCGTCGAGAGAAAAGCAGAGCGGAGTCGAAGGTCACCGCCTCTCCTCGCCGCCTCGGCTGGAAAACACCTGCCGTGCTGCCCCGCTACCCCGTGCGCATGCGCGGTGTCTCCTAGCAACCTCTTCTCTCTGCGCATGCGCGGTGTCTCCTGGCAACACTGCCCTCTGCGCATCTGCGGTGATCTCAATAAATTCAGTTCTAGGCAATTAATTCAAGGTATTGAAGGTAAGAGATCGGCATGACTGAACCAGAACCTACTGATCAAAGTAGAGAACAAAAAGGAAATGCACAGGCAATGGAAGTGGGGGTGGGTATTGTGGGAGGTATATAGGGATAGGGTTAGGAGGCTTAGCTGGACCTGAACACGGCAAGAGGCAGAAAGAATAAGAAAAGCTTCTGTAGGTACATTAACTGGAAAAGGAAAGTGTAGGAGGGTGTTCTGCACCTAGTGAGAAATACAGGCAGGCTGGTAACAACAGATAAGGAGATAGCTGAAGCACTCAACTTTTTTGCCTCAATTTTTGCTAGTGGCTGCTCTACAGACAGCCTTTGCTAATGGGTGGTTTGGAAGGTAGGAACTGGGGCAGTGATGTCCCTCCTGCTGTGAGCAAAGATCAGGTTTGCAACCACCTGAGAAAGCTGAGCATCGACAAGTCTATGGGGCCTGATGAGATGTATCCCTGAGGGAAATGGCCAGCGTAGTAGCCAAGCTACTGTCAGTGATATTTGAAAAGTCCTGGTGGTCAGGTGAAATCCCTAGTGGAAGAAAGGCAATATCATATCCATTTTTAGGAAGAGTAATGATCCAGGGAACTGCTGACCTGTCAGCCTCATCTCTGTACTGGGGGAGGGATCATAGAGCAGATGCTCTTGGCATTTGTGCTAAGGCACACAGAAGAGAGGGAAGTGATACAGAAGAACCAGCATGACTTCACCAAGGACAGGTCTTGCCTGACCAACCTTGTGGCTTTTTACAATCTTGTAACTATCAGTAGTCAAGGAAAGAAAGACTGGTGTCATCTGTTTAAACTTCAGCAAGACCTTTGACGTGGTCCCCCATAACATCCTTCTCTCTAATTTGGAAAGATATTGATTTGACAGGTTCATGGGATGAAGATCTGGTTGCAAGATCGTGCCTAGAGAGCAGAAATCAATGGTTCAATATTCAGATAGAGATCAGTGACAAATGATGTCCCTCAGGGGTCAGTAAAGGGACAGATGCTCTTTGATATCTTCATCAGTTACATCGATGGTGTGGTTGAATACAACTTCAGCAAGTCTGCGGATGTCACCAACTTGTGTGATGCCTTTCCAGGTCAAAATTCTGAAGCCTTTAATGTTAATAAACATAAAATCAGGAAAGGAGCATGGGCATGCCCACAATTTCAACAGCTATTTTCTTTCTCACCAGATGGCATTTGCAGACTTGTGCCCATATTTAATGTAGTTAACAGTTATTAGCTATTCATAGAATTTTTGTTGTGTTTAGAGAAATTTGTAGAATATTCCACAGTTTTCACAGTACATGTTTAAAGAACTAGAAGGAAAAAAAGCATCGAATCTCCAATCTGCTCCAGGTGTGTTAGCAAATAGTCCTAGTTCAGGTATGATTTCACTTCAGAATAAAAAAATACATGTGCATAGCACAACAGCAGCTAATGAAGAAAAGCTACATACATACTTAATGAGTCCACATACCAAAAAACAAAGAAAGGAGAAAGTAGAGGAAATGCATTATGCTTGACTATCCTCATCTCTTTCTAAGCCTAGGTGATGAGGGAAAGGCTGTCACTGTAATTTGCTTAGACTTTAGTAAATAATTTGGCACTGTTTCCCACAGTATTCTCCCAGAGAAGCTGCTTGGGCAGGTACACTGTTTGCTGGGTAAAGAACTGGATGGAGGGCCAGGCCCAGAGAGTAGTGGAGAATGGAGTTAAATCCAGCTGGCAACTGGTCACTACTGTCACTACTAATGTTCCGCAGGGGTTAGTATAAGGGCCAACTCTGTTTAGTACCTTAATTGATTATCTGGATGAGAGGACTTAAGCATACCCTATCTGTAAGTTTGCAGATGACACCAAGCGGGGAGGAAGTGTTGATCTGCCTGAGGGTAGGAAGGCCCTACAGAGGGATCTGGATAGGCTGGGTTGATGGTCTGAAGCCAATGGAGTGAGCTTCAACAGGACCAAGTGCCAGGTCCTGCACTTTGGTTGCTAATTCCTTTGCAGTGCTACAGGCTTGAGGCAGAGTGGCTGAAGAGGATCTGGGGACATTAGATGACAGCTGCCTGAACAAAAGCCAGCAGTGTGCCCAGAGGTGAGGGAGAGAAAGCTGAAAATTCAAGAGGGGTCTGTTTTACACTGCAGCATGGTCTCTGGTTCTCTCTGCAGTCCTCCCTGCAAGAACACACACCTGAAAAGAGTTTGCTGCACTTTGGAATGCTCGGTGTATATCATGATCATGGTTTGTGTATAGCTCCATGGCAAAGTTTCTTGGTAAAAACAGGTCAAGAACATCACAGCATGAGGCTACAGATGGGCCTCTGGAGCCCTGGCAATTTTCTGCAATGAAAATAAATGTCATTTAGACTCTCCCTCTAAATAAAATTTTTGTAACTATTTCCTGTAGAGCTAAAAATGTTCTCTTTTTTTCTCCGCGTTCTTCATTCTGTCTCTACTTCTATCCACCAAGGGCAATGTATGCTTGCAACTCTCAGTTCTTCAAGTGTTCTCTCCTTGTAGGACTGACTTTGAATGAAGAGACTCGTATGTTTTAGGAAAAGGAACTAGCCTTTAGTCTGCTAATTTCCTTTAGGGGAGGAAAATATACCAGAAGAGGGAATCATTGATAGATTACTTGTATGCCTGTCCTAAGCTGCAGAATCTTAAGCAGAACCTGAATCAACCATTTCTTCAACAACCATTTGCTCCCTTCTCATAGCAACTGGGAGAAATGACAGGAACCTTTCTTCAGGGTCCCAGGTCATTCATGACAGAGCATGCTTGACTTCTGCAAAACTCACCCTGGGCAACAGTGAGCCTTGCCTTGCCCCCTTCTTGTTCTCATATTTAGAATAAAATAGTTCATTTGGATGGGACATTCAGCAATCATCCAGTCCAACTACTTGACCGCTTCAGGAGTATCCAAAAGTTAAAGCGTGTTACTGAAGGCATTATCCAAATGCCTCTTGAACGCTGACGAATCTGGAGCATCAACAACCTCTCTAGAAAGCCAGTTCCAGTGTTTGACCACCCTGTCATTAATTTTTTTTTTTTTAATGTCCAGTCTGAACCTTCCCTGCTGTAGCTTTGTGTTGTTCCCACATTCTGTCAGTGCTGTCTGGACTGAAACTGTGACATGAGGAGGGCAGAGAGCAGAGCTAACTCAAGATAAAGCAAATAATTGTATGCATTTTGATGCACTAGCTAAACACAGTCCTGTGAACAGTGAAAATATGCAACCTTGCTTTCCATTTTGATAAAGGAGTTTGAGAACAGGTTTCAAGACTGCAAAACAAATATCATCAAATTTTGGGTATATTTGCGACTCTTTTCAGTTGACTTAATGAATAAATTACCTGTGAGTTTTCAAATGGAAATTATGGAGTTACAATCAGATATTCAACTGAAAAAAAATGATCATATCTCTTAACTAGGCTTTTATAAGAGCTATTTTGCAGAAAAAATTATCACTCGCTTCGCAATCACACCTTATTCTCCTCATTGCTTTTCAGAAGCATGCATATTTGAAGTATGTATATTTGTGAACCCATATTGACTGTGTTTGATAATAACTTTGTTCTTTAACTGTCATTCAGTAACCCTCAGGATAATCTTTTCTGTGACTTTTCTAGAGCCTGAGGTTGGAGTGAGAGGTCTGCATTTTCTTGCGTCTTTTACAGGTCTGCATCTTTTCTTGGGTCATGAATTGGCTTCCTGTCATGAGAGACCTCCCCAGACTCCTACAACCTTTGATAAATTGTTGAGAGGGATTCAGCTGTAACATCTGCTAATTCCTTCAGTACTCTAGGGTAAAGCATGTCAGGATCCATTGGCTTACAAATGTTGAGCTGATGTGACTGCTTCCTTGCAATTCTGGTGAGCACAGATGGGAAGTAATTGCTCCTCCAATCATAGTGCTCTAACTCTGAGGTCTGGGCAGCCCAAGGTCTGTCACTGCTATTAAAAATTGAGACAATAAAAAAAGCATTAAATGCCTCTGTCTTTTCCTCATCCTTACTTGTTAGGTGATTGCATGCAACAAGTATCTGTACAGTGTTTTTCTTCAGCATATTCTTGCTGTTGGCATACTTGAAAAAGTCTTTTTTGCTATCTGAGACTGTGCTAGCCAGTGTTGACTTGAATTGATTTATCTAGACATCTTCTTTTTTCTTGAAGAATAGACAAACAGAAGGAAAAGCAGCTCCTCCCTTGCTGGCAGTGTATACTGACAAGCCCTAAATGTTAAATAGCATGTACTGCTCTCCAAACATAGGGATAGTGATGAGGTTGCCCCCGAATCAGGGTTATGTGTAGTTGTGAATTTTAAGAGAATTCATGAACACTTCCAGGTTCTTTGACAAGAAAACCAAACCATGTGTACCTGAAAAGCAGAACAGCATCTGGAGGAAGACAAATTCCATTTCCTCCCCTCCCCAAGTGAATGTGGGTCTGCAAACCTCTGGTGCATCCAGCAGAACTGACTGCTTAATCAAGGCCAGCAGTGACCAAGCAAGATGTACATTGTGTCTGAGAGGACACATCAGAACAAAGAGGCAGCAAAGATGGGACTGAAAGCGAGAGACACTGTGGGACTGTTGAACAACATCTGCATATGGAAGTGGTAGTGCTTTCCCAAGGGGACCCACAGTACAATGTCTCACTCTGCCCACCCTCTGGAAAAGTGGAATGGTTCTGGCGTGACCAACATACCCACTGACAGCGATAGAGCAACTGCTTTCCTACTGGCAGCTGGAAACTGAAGTGTCCACCAAGGAAGGATAACACAGAGGCAAAGGCTAGGATGCAGCAAAAATTTAATGAAGCAAAGGAGGGAAATGAGATCATGGGGA